CCCATCCCACCCCCCCCGCCCCTTCTTTTCTCTAACATCCTGCCACTCTCTGCCTCCAATAACCTTTCCCATTCAAACTTTTTCCCAGTAACGTCCACTCATGTAAGTATGCCTCTAATAAATTAGCTCCCCTAGCTTAGCTTAGTTATCTATACTCTAACCTCCGAAAATCCTCTGCCTCCATATTCTACATCCTCCAACCTCCATCCACTAACAATCTCCAAACCTAAAATCCTTCCTGAGTTAACGCACTTTACCTCTACGGACCTTGTTCCAATCTAATAAACTGTCTTTACTTCTCTAAATACAAATGGTCTCCATGGATAGAACAATATATTCTTGTCTACATGTATCAGTATGTAATTAATCAGTAAACACTTGTACTGTAAATAGAGATTAGATATATTTATTTTCTTTACCAAACAAATGTAAAAAAATAAATAGCAGGAAGCAAATATGTATTTTTTAGATCAGCTCCTTCTCTTAAAGGAACTGTAATCGTAATGTCAAGGACATTTTGAACTCGGTATTCCCCCCCCCCCTTGTATGTCGGATTCACAATAGTAACCTTGTAAGCTGAGTCTGATCAATAAAACATAAAACTTCAGATATTTTCAATGTTGTGTTCTCTTTAAAAGACTTGCAGATATCTGTTTTAGGAAGAAAAGGAATCGTTTCTTTGTTCTAATCCATATATCTTGTAAACCTGATAGTGAAAACCATTGAAAGGAATTGAGTTTTTGCAACAAACTTAAAATTTTCTCCCCCCCTATATCTTTGCAACCTGATGGTGTAAACCTTTGATATTTCAAAGTTAGACTATTTGATCTACAAGAATTAATAGTTTGAAATATAAAAGGTCTATGAAAACTGGTTGCTAAATTATTAGAATTAGAAAATCTAAGTTTGTGGCAAAAACTCAATTCCTTTCAAACTTAGATTTTTTGATCTAACAGATTTCATAGTTTGAAGTATCCAAGGTCTACGAAATTGCTTAGCAAAAATATAGGGATTATAAAATCAGAGTTTGTTGCAAAGAGTCAATTCAGTTTACAGTTACATTATTAATCAGATAAATGTTTGAAGGGTACCATTGTGAATCGGGCAATCTTCCTTTTAAATGGAAGGTTGAAATCACAAAGATGGCTTCTAAAGAATCTGATTTTTTTATTTAGAGCCTCCATACTTTATTCAGCCTCCGCCAAGCCTCCGAACTGGGGTTGTTGGATCTGATATCCTCCTAGACTGTATAGTACAGGGAGATCCTACACCAAGGGTTAGGTGGGTAAAAAAACAGAACTTATCTTTTTCATTTTTTTTAACTATTTGTTTCTAGATGGAGCAGAAATAAGGGTGAACTAGATGAGAACAGAGCCAAGGAATAAATATGTTTTTATTTTCAGAAATCCTAAAAATATTAAAATCAAAGTCAGCAACGTTAATTTGAAAAATTCTCCCTGTCAACCCCTCTGTTATAATATGCCTGAGTGAATCGGCCTGAAGCAAATCCCATTAACTGCCTGAATATACCTTAATCTGCCTGAAAAATAAACAGGAAGAAAATGTCAACAGACTGAGCAGATCTATGCTTTAAAGGGAATTTCACTGCTTTGCATATTTTTAGTTCGGACAAATACCTTACTCATCATCTCCTCCACGAAACAGTGAATCAAAATGTCATTTTACAACTTTTGTCGAAAATGAAGTATTTAAAGACGTTTCCTTAATTGTTATTTGAAATTTGACTCTGATTTAACTGCTGAGTCCTTGAGCAAGCTGTACTTTCCAATTTTCCGATCAAATATAAATGTTTTTTTTCTTTTACTTTTTCGTATAATAAAACAACAATAAGTAGTCCAGAGTGGGGTTGTGGGCATGTTTATATCAATCAGGTTTGCATATAAATATATCATTTTTACATGTACATAAACCAGATTTACATGCACAGAAATCAGATTTACGTGTACAGAAATCAAATTCAGATGTACATAAATCATATTTATCTGTACATAAATCATATTTACTAATCTCTAGACTGTGAACGGTAAAGGTTTACTCCTAGAGAATATACATCCCAATGATGAAGGTAAATCAAACTTGTATGCCAACAGATGGAATTCTACTGATTGATCGCATTAATGAACTAAATTCTATTTTTTTTTGTTGAGTTTAATTACACGGGCAGCCGTAGTACATTTGAATTTCCGATCCGGGTCAACCTTTCCGGTCCCAGTTTGTACTGCACCGGATTGACGTTGGATTAATAAAGAAGACAATCAACAGGACTAGCCGGTGCAACAAGGTTGACGCGGTCAGATTTTATGCCTCATATCGGTTGAATTTACTTTTACTAAAGGGGCAGAGGTGCGTGATTATTGAATAAAAACCATCCTTTAAATTTTTTTGATTTTTGTTTAGGGGAATACGAATGTTCAGCTGAAAACACAATTGGAAAAATCTCTGGCAGTGTTCAACTAATTGTACAGGTATAGTTTTATTTATTAGTTTTACAGGAACCAGATTTGATGATTAACGATAGGTAGTTGAACTACGTTGTTTTACAGGAACCAGATTTGATGATTAATGATAGGTAGTTGAACTACGTTGTTTTACAGGAACCAGATTTGATGATTAACGATAGGTAGTTGAACTACGTTGTTTCACAGGAACCAGAGTTTGATGATTAACGATAGGTAGTTGAACTACCTTGGCATAGTTAACACAATTCTCTAGTGCACCACCGGTTAAAAAGAAGTGGGTCAGCTTTGTCAATACGTTCTTCAAAATATTGTGGCCTTTAGGCGGTTTTAATTTCTCAAGAGGCAACATTTTTAAAATATCAAAATTTTAATTATTCAAACTTCATGATTTTGTTTATTTTGTATCCTTCCGGTCCCAGTTTGTACNCATTCCCTTTCCCCTTTTCAGCCTTGCTCTTTCTTCTCCTCTACAAAATGTATACTATGGTGATTGATTTTCAATTCCCCATTTTTCGGATGTTTCCCCTTTTCTTACTTTTATTTTCTTTTTACTGGAGTAATGAACTGCATACAGTCTAAATATTTAGACTGAGTTTGTTAATTTTGCAAAATGTTTTGTTTATTTTATTTAATTCTAGTTCTATATTCTAATCCCATTCTTTAGGAGTTAAAACTAAATCTTTTCTATTTAGACTACCCATTCTACACCATGGAGTATATACTTCAACATTTTTAACATACGTGGGGTGATATTGAGAATTAAGGCAAAATATGAGAAAAAGTGGTAGAATAGTTGTATTTGTGGAGAATCATCGGTAGTCAGATAAATCAACTGGAGCAGATACTCCATGTAATGTATATTTCTAGAATATTGGAGTAAATACTCCATGTATAAGTGGAGAATGTTGGAGTATATACTCCATATATGTAGTTATGGAAAATATTGGAGTAGATCACCATGTATTTGTGAACAGGGATGGATCGTTTCCACTTTTTTGAAAAACGACTAAGAATTTTTTTCAATAACTGAGTTTTTAAAAAATGTTTGTTTTTGAAAACATTTAACAACCCTGTATTTATTCTTATTTTAAACAGATTAAGCTGTTGAAGAATAAAAATATCTTTACATTCTCTGTTTTCATAGTCAAAATGATAGATCAATAATTAATATCTGCCCTTCGAACCCGACTTTGCCTGGCCGCCAGTTTCTTTTTTGTCAACTCACTATACTTTTCTCATAAACCTGGGTCCCAGATATTAACATCTCAAAACTCTAAAAATCTCTTTGTTCAGTATTAGTTTGTAAAGATTATATTGTCAATTCCCAATTGATTGTTTATCTCTATTCTCTAGGAGCCTCCTATACTAACGGTTAGCCCGGAGAAGAATGTTCAAATACAGGTTGGAGAGGAGATAAAGCTGACCTGCCTCGCTACAGGTCAAAGCTTATTTTATAAATGAGAATAGACCTTAAAAGTAAAAGATTATTAAATATGGGTTTCGTATCAATCCAAAAGATATATTTTTTTTGTTTTATTCATGATGAACGATAATAAACAATTTCATGAGACTTCCATTTAAAAACGTTTAAACGTTTAGCTGATCTAATATGTGGAAGATATCGTCGGTTTTCTAGCTTGAAAACTATTCAATTCTAGCATTTCACAATAGTCACAAATTTTATTGTTCTTTCCGTTCCAAAAATACCAAAAATAACTTTAAATGCTAACAGGACGGCCGTCCCCTACCATATTCTGGAGTAAGGAGGAGGACAACGGTGTCCTGTTCCCGGGATTAAAGGACGGAAATGTTTACGTTACAGCGGACGGGTCCTTGAAGATAAAACAGGCTGTGGTAGAGAACACAGGTAAATAGGTAGATAGATAGATAGATAGATAGATAGATAGATAGATAGATAGATAGATAGATAGATAGATAGATAGATAGATAGATAGATAGATAGATAGATAGGAATAGAGATAGAGAGATAGATAGATGTTCTTTAATTAAAGAATTCTGGAGAAATGCTGTCTCACAAAAGATATCATCTTAAAGAGTTGTTTTTAATTTTAGGTCGGTTTGTTTGTACTGCAGTTAACGAAGTGGGAGCAGCGATGGCACAATCGCATGTTTTAGGTAAATAGATATTTTTCCATTTGATATCTTGGATTATTCTTAACCCCTCCGTTAACGGCTTTTTGAATTTGCCAATTTTAGACAAATAGCTTTATTATGAATAAATTAAAAGAATATAGACTTTTCTTATATTTTATCAACTCTGTTCCGACCTATATGAAACCTAGACCTTAATCTATGAATTTAAAAAAGAATAAAATTTATAAAGTTTGAAAATTGAAGAAGTTTGAGCGTTCAAGACAGTTCTTGTGCAAGCTGCTTTAAAGTTATATGGGGGGAAAATATAACAGATAGAGGGGAAAGGAGTAGGGGGGTAGAAATACTCCTTATTATTGTAGATTTAATGTTTATCATTGAAATGTTTTTATTCAGTTTACGACAGTTCTGAGATTGGTCAGAAGATGTCGGCAGCTCATATTAATGTTTACAAACATTCAGAAGAACAAGATTTGGGTAATTTTCAAAAATATATATGATTGTTACTTTAATCTCTTCTAGGCATTCAGAAGCTCTCTTTAACAATATTCTTGCTGTTTATTTTAATTTCATCCTAAATTTTTGGTGCAAAATTTTTAAACTTTGCAAATTTTTCTGGTTTTCATTGTGCATTTTGAAAGTTTGAAAAGAAAACATTTTTGAGGGACCATTTTTTATTCCTGACCAACCATAAAGAAACATTTGTATAAAAAAAATCCCCCCAAAAATTGGGTTTGCCATTTTACGTTTATTTGTATAATACAAATGAGTAAATCAACTTAAAGATAACTTCTTTTCTAAGAAACCAAAAAACCAACCGGTAAGGCAAATATAAATTGAATTAAAAGAGATTAAATAAAAGTTGTTATATACCTAAAGGAATGTATTTTCATATTGATTTAAATCAGAAGACGGTAAAAAGATATTTGTGGATTCAATTAAATAAAAACCTTTAAACATCTGTTTATTAATTTTTTTCTTGTAAATATCTAAATTAATATTTTTGATACTTTTTTCTGTTTAGAAGAAGCCAGGGTAGCGCTTCAACAACAACTGGTAGAAATTAAATCTATCAAATCTCTCAGGTTCAAATTCATTTAATTTGTTTTATGAAAAACATTTTAATTATGTTTTCTATTTTCTTAAATTAATTTAATTTTGATTTAGTTCGAGCTCTGTAGAGATAACCTGGAGAAGTATTGGTGGCAGAACCTTGATTCATGGCTTCCTTGTTAGATATAGACCAACATTAAATAGATATCAGGACTTTAGGTTAGATATAGACCAACTTTAAATAGATATCAGGACTTTAGGTTAGATATAGACTAACATTAAATAGATATCAGGACTTTAGGTTAGATATAGACCAACTTTAAATAGATATCAGGACTTTAGGTTAGATATAGACCAACATTAAATAGATATCAGGACTTTAGGTTAGATATAGACCAACTTTAAATAGATATCAGGACTTTAGGTTAGATATAGACTAACATTAAATTGATATCATGACTTTAGGTTAGATATAGACCAACTTTTAATAGATATCAGGACTTTAGGTTAGATATAGACCAGCTTTAAATACATATCAGGTCTTGTTAGATATAGACCAACTTTAAGTTCAGATGAAAAAAATATATTTTAAAGAGTTTAAAGGCGGTGTTAATTAATTTTTTTTTAAAGAATTAAATAAAGGACTTTAATCTGATTTTAATTACTAAATTTAATGTATCTATTCTATCTATTCTATAATCCACTGGGCTTTCATAGAATTCTATGAATCTAATCAATCAGTATTCTAATTTCTGCTCCTTTGTTCAGAAGTTTGGTGGTGACAGACACACGGACAGACACATACACACTTGTTGAACTAGAGAGTAATACTGAATATGATGTTTTTATTCAGCCTTACTACAGGTATTCAACCGAACTACAGGTATTTAACCGAACTACAGGTATTTAACCGAACTAAACGGTTATTCAACCGAACTACAGGTATTCAACCGAACTACAGTTATTCAACCGAACTACAGGTATTCAACCGAACTACAGGTATTCAACCGAACTACAGGTATTCAACCGAACTACAGGTATTCAACCGAATACTAGGTATTTAACTAAGCTACAGGTATTCAACCGAACTACAGGCATTCAACCGAACTATACAGTTATTCAACCGAACTATAGGTATTCAAACGAACTACAGTTATTCAACCGAACTATGGGTATTCAATCGAACTACAGGTATTCCACCGAACTACAGGTATTTACCTAAGCTACAGGTATTCAAACGAACTACCGTTATTCAACCGAACTATGGGTATTCAATCGAACTAAGGTATTCCACCAAACTACAGGTATTTACCTAAGCTACAGGTATTCAACCGAACTATAATGTTATTCAACTGAACTATAGGTATTCAACCGAACTATAATGTCATTCAACTGAACTATAGGTATTCAATGTAACCGAGTCCGAATACTAAGTGTTCAACCGAACTATACAGTTATTCAACCGAACAACAGGTATTCAACCGAACAACAGGTATTCAACTAAACTATACAGTTATTTAACCGAACAACAGGTATTCAACCGAATAATAGGTATTCCAGCGAACTACATACAATACAATACAATTTATGACTCTTAAAAGATAATGAAATATCAAGCATCAAAATATGTGCTACAAGAAACCAAGGGTTCTTTTTCAATATTAATCTTCAAGAGATTTACAAAATAATCCATTACATGTTATGTTTTGTTAAGAAAGGCATTTTCAGCCTTCTCGAGACTTTAAAATATTGACAACTCTGAAATTTAGTCACCAAGTTTTTTTTTAGACAGCCGCGACTTTAAAGTGTCGCAACGTCTTGGCCTTTGTTTTTGCCTCACCAACTCATTGAAGCTGTTATGTAGCCTTAGACAATAGACATACATTTCAGTATATCTCTACATAATTTTTGATATTTTCAACTCAATATATGTTTGTCTAGGAGTGTAGTGGGACTACCAACATCAATTAAAACAGTATCAACTGAAGAGTCGAATATACCAGGTAATAGTTAAAAAATATACAATTTTATCTTTAGTTTTTTAATTGTGTTAAAATTAGAGTTTTTTTCAATAAAAATTTTAAAGTAACACCAAAAATCATAAAATTTCATAAAGAAACTTTACCAAAAAAAAAGTTTGAGATGCAAAAAAATCCAGAAACAAAAAAATTATATATACCAGTTTGTTCAAGTTAAACTTTTCCTCTTTATATATACACAAACTGAAAGACAAATTTGTATTTTTTTATTCTCAAAAACATTTTTTTATTCATATATCAAAATATTACTTAAATTATAATCTTTAACTTTATTCTGTAATTATAAACTTTGTTGAATAGCATTCTGCACAAGAACTTCCACAATCTAAACTTAAAACTTCAATTTAACTTTTTTCAAGTTGAATTAGACATTTCCTACAATCAGGGCATGCGGTGGAATAACTGACACACAATACATACTTAAATTTACATAAACTTTAAATCCTTCTCACTTGTCACTTTTTACAATCTAAGTATGAAATGAAAAGACATTTTTAAACACCTTCTTAAAGGGATCCCTATTTTATCTTAAATGACCCTCCATTTTAACAGAAAGGAGTTGGTCACTCAGCACCAAAGGGGTATATCTTCCTTACAGATCATTATTTTTACATCTAGTTTTTTCTAAAGTAAGTCCAGTATATCCCTGAATGGTGTTCTGGCCAGGATATACCTTGAAAAGTGCAGGGGCGCAAACTGTTGAAAAAAAGGGGGGTCGATAGGGTGCTATTTTCGGAAATAATGATTCAAATAAAATGATA